GTGAGCAATAAGGATGTGAGCATGTTATAGGTTTCTTACATAGTTGTCTAGAGAAAACCCTCAATCACTTTTCTGAGTAGGGCCCATTGTGGAAAACTGCTGATACGTACTGTAATTTCTTTAATGCCATCAGCTGTGGTGGTGGTGTAGTCTCTAAGTCGTGTCTGACTCTCGTGGACTGTAGCCCACCAGGCTCCTCTCTCCATGGGATTTCCCAGGCAAGAATACTGGAGTGGGTTGCTATTTCCTTCTCCAGGGGATCTTCCTGACCCAGGAATCAAACCCACGTCTCCTGCATCGTAGGCGAACTCTTTACCACTGAGCCACCAGAGGAGCCCCAGTTATGCTGGGCATTAAGATACTTTTCAATTGTTCATATACAATAAAACATACTAGATAACTCCAGATGAATGAACTTTTGAACAACTCTAATTTTTGGAAGAAGGAATGCAGGATGTCATATAGGCTTCTACTCATCATTATATGTGCAAACATTACTAATTGATCATGGCACATTGCCCATTATGTCCAGGTCTGATTTTAACATTCCTCTCAATCCAGCAGTTCAAGCAGAACTCCTATTTGACTGAAGTTGTCACGTGAGGTGAAGCCTTTTGCCATCCTTGAGGTAGATCATAAGAAAAAAATTATCTTTTTCTTCCCTCCTTACTGGGATTTTTTTTGTTTGTTTTTGTTTTTAACCTTCTGGAAATTCTTGAGGATAAATAGCCTGGGCTTTGTATTTCCAGCTGAATCACTAAATGGCTCATTGCTTGTTGTGCCACTTTGAAAAGTGGGCCATTTTAGAAGTTCCACTGGAGAATTTGAAAGAATTGCTGAGGCAAGTCTTTGTTTGATGGTTTGAGCTTTTTACTCCATGCCAGACATGGATGGGTGCCAATTCCTGGAACAGATGGAAAATTGCATATTTCAGGAGAGAGAGCAAATGGGTTGTACCATGTGAGAATTCAGTCTTTTAGGGGAAGAATGTTTTCTCTGATGGCAAGTAAGCATCAAGGGACCCTAAAGGCTCTGGTTGATGTACTTGCTTTCTTCCTTTTCTGTATCTTGAGCAAAGGCTGGCAATGAACCACCCAGAACAGGGTAAGTGATAGAAAGGAATACTCAGGCTATAGATTTCAAACTTGAGACGTGAAACAGTTTCATTAAAAATGCATTCCTTGCAGAATGAAAACACACAGCCCTTTTCTTTGGTTGATGTTTGATTATTAGCATCTTCGGGATTACTTGAATTTGTTTTGTGACTGACATGACACAAAAGGCATCAGAACTTTTTGAACCAAGGAAGCAATTTCAAAATTCAATAATGCAGGAAAAGGAAAACCAATAGGCCTTGTCTGTTAGTATACAAGGGCGCTAGAAATATACAACTGCAATTTCATGGCTGGCCTGTGCTATAATTTACCCCTGGTGGTTCCTTCATTGAAATTTTAATTCTTGACACTCTACGTTTGGCCAGAAATGTTCTATAGGTGAAAACCATGGCACAGTCTCTTTTCATAATCGCCTCTGTGATGTAGCTGAGTGGGAGCAAAGACTCTAGAGTGCTGGAATCCTGGCTTGAGTCTTGGCTGTGCAAAGTTGAGCAGGTTATAAAACTTCTCTGACCCTTAGAAGTCTTCTATAACTGGAGTAGTCATACTCGGATTAGAGTGGTTAGAAGGAGAGCTGAGTGAGGGCATGTGGAGTGCCCAGCACAGAACCTGAGACACTGAAAAGGTACAGTGATTTTACTATTTTTTATGGCTTTGAATGGCAGTGTTCTTTCTGGGTTATGCAGTGTTTAGAAAAAAAATGATCTTGGGATTGTGGAATGGAAAAGCTTCCCAAATCACTCTCCTGTGTTTAGACTTTAAGCTCCTGCCTATAGCACTTTTTCACACTCCCTGTAGTCAATAACAAAAATGGACCAATTCTTCCCCCCCTTGGTATCCACGGCCTTTGCCATGTGGCTTCAAAGCTCCTCCTGAAGTCACCATCCTCCTTGGATGGCACTGTGGTAGGGACTTGAATCCCCAAACCCTGACTTAAGAGGAGACTCCAACCCACTCACTTGGGCCTCGGGACTTACTGACGCTCAGGTTCTTTTTTCTTCATGCAGAAATAACTCAGAGTGAGACAAAGTGATAGAGCAAGAGTGAGTTAGCATAGGAGGCTTGTGAGAGACCTAAGCAGGCAGGCCAGGGAACACAGCCCACAGAACAAAGAGGGCTACATTTTAATAATCCAAGAAACAGTGAGGAGGGGAGTAAACCACCTTCTTCCTTACGTTTGGATAGATGTCAAGGTTTACATCATTAGTTCCTCCTTTAACTCTCTATGGTCTAACTGGGACTGTCATGGCACTATTTGAATCATATGTACATTAGCAAAATGATAGTAACATACACTGAAATATGGTAATTCATCTCAGGTTTCAGTATAATGTCCCATTTTACCTAGTTCCTTTCCCCTTTCACCTATATCGCTGTCTTGGCTACATGAAAAAATTGGTTCTCTTCAAGGACCATTAACCTCATGTAACAAGATTCTTATCTGTTGTCTTGTGTTTTAACTATCAAGGCTTATGGTTCAATGTGCCTGGCACTTGAATGAACCTGGTCTTCCTTCAAGTTGGTGTACATTATTGCTAGGTTACTGGATTCTTTCCTTGAGTGATCTTTAGCTTACAACAGTCTCTCGAACTCCCTTAAAAATCCCCCTTCTCTCTTTAATCCCCTAGTGGGATTTTTAAACTATTTAATTATCCTACTTTACTCCTATCACTCCCATCACAAAGGTGTTCTATTTGCTTATCCTTTGCTTCTGGATTTATCATGTGACTTTCTTTGGCCAGTGATCTGTTAGCAGACATGGTATAAAGAAAGACTTGACAAAGCTATTGAGTGTTTCTGTTGGTTTTGAGTCATTCCACAATGAAATGAAAAGTATTCGCCACATTTCTACTAGGATTCCTTTGAAGATCAGCTCCAGTTGGCACAAGTCTCATGAAGTCCAGCATAGCACTGAACCACATCTTTCAAACCATCTCATGCCATGTCTGCAGCCTGTTCTAGGGTCCAAAGCCAAGGGCATCACCTGGAAGTGTTGCCAGGTGAACATACATGGCAGGGGTGATAGTTCATATATTGTGAAACAATGTCACGGGACAAGACAGGTGTCTTCTTTGGTGCAAAACTAGATTCTTTTCCTGGGAAAATGGTTGTATGAGCCAGTCATTCTAGCCAAGAGCATCTGACCTCCAGTCAACTCAGTCTATAATTAAGTCCAGCCAAGAATAACAAAGCTGCCTAGCTGATCACCCTGGATTCATGAACAATAGGTAATAATTGTAACGTGCCACTGAGGTTTTGTGGTTGTTTGTTATGCAGCATTATTAAAGCAATAGATTATAGCTACTCTTCTCTTACTGCTCAGAGTCCCTTGTGTTGCGATTATGGCTTATTTGTTAGGCTCTTCAGATGTACTGAGAACTCACTGAGAATAGGGACAATATCTTATTTACCTTACACCCTCAGGGTCTAGCACAGTACCTGATGGGTAATAAATATTTGTGGCCTGGAGTTCTGGCTTTAATATGACATTCCTTCACTTACTGGTGTATTTGTTTCTACATTTGTAATTTCATCACTGAATGCCTTCTATATGCCTGGCTCTGTTCTGGGGGCTAGGGGTACAAATGCTAGAGTGGGTTGCCATTCCCTTCTCGAGGGGATCTTCCCAACCCAAGGATCAAACCCCAGTCTCTTGCATGACAGGCAGATTCTTTACCATCTGAGCTACCAGGAAGCCCACAGATATGAGCAAAATTGACCTTAGAAGAATCCCATTAATTAGGAATGAGAACTGTGTCTATGAACATGCCTTCAAATGTGAATAAGTAAATGGATGAACAAAACAACCACTTACCAAATTCCTGCTCTGTGTCAGGCCTGGTGCCCTCAGAGGAGGGTGTTTAAGGTGAAGGAAATGATGGGCAAAGCGACTGGAAGACAGATGTATTAAAGAGTGACAGTGGAATAGAAAGTATTGGGCCAGGGAGCAGTGAGAGCAGGTTTTGAAATGCAGTTCTGGAAGACTTTGCTTGATAGACCAAGGGGGTGTGGATTAGGGCTGAAAACTGGAATATTTATATGGGCTAGGCAGGTAATATAAATAAGTGAAGACCAGATGTGAGGGAAAATAGAGGGATGAGAACTAGAGCAGCTAGAAAGCACATCTATCTACTGACCTTGCCCAGGTCTAGCTCAGTGCTTCCTCTTTTTTTTTTTTTTTAATTATTGTTGGAGTAGAATTGATTTGCAATGTAATTTCCACTGTATAGCAAAGTGAGTCAGTTATACGTATTCACGTACCCACTGTGTTTTAGATTCTTTTCTCACGTAGGCTATTAGAGTATTGAGTAGGGTTCCCTGTGCTATGCAGCAGGTTCTCATTAGTTGTCTACTTTATACATAGTAGTGGATATATATTAATCCCGATATCCCAATTTATCCCTCCCACTCTTTCCCCCGGTAACCATAAGCTTGTTCTCTACATTTGTGACTCTGCTTCTATTTTGTAGCTAAGTTTAAACCTCTTTGTTTGAGTCCACAAATAAACAACATCATATGGTATTTGTCTTTCTCTTACTGACTTGCTTCGCTCAATATGACAATCTCTAGGTCTATCTATCTTGCTGCAGATGGCCTTATTTCATTCTTTTTTTTTTTATAGCTGAGTATATATTTATTTATTCCATTGTATATATGTACCACATCTTCTTTATCCATTCCTCTGCTAAGGGGCATTTACATTGCTTCCTTGTCCTGAATGTTGTAAATAATGCAGCTGTAGTTCAGTGTTTCTTAACACTTTCCTGTGCTTGGGGGTATGGTTTGCCTGTGGGGCTGTAGTTTTGGGATAGGGGGAGAGGGCTGAGATTTCCTATTTCTAACAAGCCCCCATGTTTCTGTTCTTCTCATTCACCCTCTGAGAAGGAAGAAGCTATCACGTTGATTGTTGCCGCATGACAATGAGGATCCAGGTCTGTCAGTGCATCAGACCTTTCCAAGAAAACCCATGCCATCTCTCTTTTATGTGAAATACTTGGGTTTTTCATCATAGTACCAAATGTTTGTGAAGATTCTTATAAAACAGGCAACCTCTCTTTGACCACTTCCTGGAATTTTACACTTACACTATTCTGAGTCGAAACACGAGGACGGAGTTGGAGTGAGAAGCAGAGTCTAGTAGTCGGTGCTGTGGTAAGTGCAATGCCCACAGCCAAGGGAAAAACTCGGAGGCAGAAGTTCGGTTATAATGTTAACCGGAAGCGTCTGAACCGGAATGCTAGACGGAAGGCAGCGCCGCGGATCGAATGCTCACACATCCGACATGCCTGGGACCAGACCAAATCGGTGCGGCAGAACCTGGCCGAGATGGGTTTGGCTATGGACCCCAACAGGGCAGTGCCCCTTCTTAAGAGAAAGGTTAAGGCCATGGAAGTGTATGTAGAGGAGAGGCCTAAGGAGCTTGTGCGGAAGCCGTATGGGCTTAATGACCTGGAGGCAGAAGCCAGCCTTCCAGAAAAGAAAGGAAATACACTGTCGCGAGATCTCATTGACTATGTTCGCTACATGGTGGAGAACCATGGGGAGAACTATAAGGCTATGGCCCGGGACGAGAAGAATTACTATCAAGATACCCCAAAACAGATTCGGAGTAAGATCAATGTGTACAAGCGTTTTTACCCAGCAGAGTGGCAAGCCTTCACTGATTCTTTGCAAAAGAATAAAATGGCGGTTGAGAGACTGGTTTATGCCTGCCCCAGGATGAGGCTTCCTCCTGGACCAGAGAAGCAAGGAGGGGTGTGCATCTACACATGAGGCCGGCCAAACCCCATGGAATCAAAAGGTTAAAATGAGTGTGTGTGTGTGCGCGCGCACACACACAGACACACACACACAGACACACACAATCTCTCTCACATTTCACTTTGGAGAAGATACTGTCTCCCAGAGGCTCCAATCTATATTCTTCTGGGGGCTCTGGGAAAAGCCAGAACCTGCTGTTTTGTGAGTGGGCAGTTTGTTTGAATATAGTCTGTGTACAATAAAATAGTTATTAAAAAAAAAAAAAGAAAGAAACACGAGGACATCATGCCATGGATGCTACCAGCCTTTGGATTTTGCATTTCTTGGGTTTGCTCTTGTGGCTATATGCTCTGCATTTCTCTAAATATATTTTAATCTTCTCAGGGACATGGATGAAATCTTCTTACTTTTCCATCTGCGAAAATATGTGGCAGGATGTTTCATACCCAGTGGGAGGTCAGTGGATACCAGTAAATGAACTAATGGAGATAAATGGTGTATTTCAGAAAGCGGGAATGGATTTTCATATATTATCAGTAGGAGTTTTCTTTTGGAGCGGGCAACCAGAAAGAGTTGCTTAATTTTATTAATCACCCTCATTTTTTAGAAAACATATTAATAGCTTCAGGAAGTCTTGGTCTACATGAATAAAAGTTTAATATACCAGGGTGGTTATGATACAACGTAATTGGGCTGTGGGGGAGGCAGGACAGTGCTGTTGTGTTGAAAGCAGTTGAGTAGTTTAAAAAAAAGAAGTAAAAATTCAGTCAAAGGTCCAATATCCTTAATGATTTATGAGCCCAGTCCTGAAGGACGGAAGTGTAGTTTTTCTCATTTATGAGAATGGGATTGAAACTCCCCATGGAGGTGAACACATCTTGCTTCCAAATTCTAGTTATCTTTGGAGAGTCAACCTTGGGCAACCTTGTCAGACCATGAAGGATTACTTCTGAAAACCATCAACCTTTCACTGAAGGCGCGACACCACTTTATACATGCATGGCCTTCTAGAGGTTACTAACTACTTTATTAGCTAAACTGACACAGCTATTCTGGTAGGACAATGGAAGATAGTGTCAAGAAAAGTATCCAAGACTCGAAAATCCACCAAAAGGAAGATGGCTTTCTTTCATAAACATTGTCTAGAAAATCCTCTAGGGATTATTTAGGTCTACAAGGGTGTGGGAGGTTTATTGACTAGGCCAGTGACCAGAAGACTGTGTAAAGCACCAGATCATACGTATTTCAGGCTTTGCAGAACATACATCTGATCTGTTGAATATTCTTCTCCTTATCCCTCCCTCCCACCCTTCCTTTTTCTTCCTCTGTCTCTTTTACCCCTCTCCCTCTCTCCTTCATTCCTTCCTCTTGCTCTTTCTCTCTCTCTTAAAAAGTCTAAAAGCCAGGACCAAATTCATAGGCAAATTCATAGGTAAGACTGTGTATTTATTAAAGACCTGTCCATGTTGGGTACTGCAGATGTCAGCTTTGAGGGTTTTGAAGTCAAACTATGGGCATATCTGAGGTTTGAGTTGACAGGCATTGATGGAGATGGAAACTATGGTGGGTTTACTGGTCCAGGCCAGCTGAGACATCTTTCTGGGACAAGATGTCACTTACCTGGGAGTTCTGGGTTCTCTTCTCCGGCTCCCTCCACACAGGCCTATTTTCCACACATTTTCAATTTTCTAGCTCCTCGTTTCCACTCCTGAGGTTGAAGGAGACGTGGCCCCACAGTGTGTGAGCTCTGTCTCCTTGAGGTACATTGAAGAGTCAGATGACCTCATCAGCTTAGTACAGAAGTTAACTGCCTGAGGAGAGAATGCTGATTATCCAAGAAAGAGGCAACACTGGTCATTTCCCCCTCCCTCCCTCCTTCTACTGAAGCTCATTTTTAGAGTCCGTAATGTGTTTTCACAGATCTGTGGTTGGGTGGTGTTGGATGCTTTGCTTCACATAGAAGGCTGCAGGATTTGATCTTTTCCTGTCTGTCATCCTCTTTGGGGAATGTTTGGGCCAGCTGGGGAATTTTCTTCCCATACTGATGGGAAGAGAACGTGCTGGCATAAGAGATCAAGCTGAACTACACATGTGCATTTCAAGTCTCTATTTCCATCACATTTACGGATGTCTTGTCACCTAAAGCAAGACACAAGGCTGAGCCCAAAGTCCAAGCGTAAAAAATATACACCCCAGCTTTAGGGATGGAAGCACACAGTGTGCGTCTATGTGGAGGGTGAAGAATTGGATCCAGTCATTCAATTTACAACAGTGTGAAAACACAGAAGAGTTATTATTTTTGCGGAAGTGGTCTTGTGTCTCATCTATACGTTGCAAGGGACCTTGTTGTGGTTGCATGAATTATTTGAGACAGAATTATCTACTTGAACAGATAGGTGTATTCATGTGTATGTGCTGCTTATACTATTGGCATAAAGTGAAGTGAAAGTGTTAATCGCTCAGCTGTATTTGACTCTTCGTGATCCCATGAACCGCAGCCTGCCAGGCTCCTCAATCCACGGGATTTCCCAAGCAAGAACACCAGAGCGGATTGCCATTTCCTTCTCCAGGGGAACTTTCCAACCCAGGGGCCGACCCCAGGTCTCCTGCATGGCAGCAGATTCTTTACTGTCTGAGCCAGCGGGAAGGGGAGCCTGCTCACTGCTCGGCAGTGACCTAAGTGGGAAGGAAATACGAGGAGAGTGGCTAGATGTGTATGTCTAGCTGATTCACTTAGCTGCAAAGCGGAAACTAACAGCATTGTAAAGCAACTATACGCCAATAGAAGATGTTTAGTTAAACATTAAAAAAATAAAAGTGCACAAACCACTCTTAGTTTTCAACTTCTACAAAAGCACATGGTAGGCTAGATTTGTGAACCTCTTTATGACAGTAAACAGCAGTTTCTCATTAGTTATCTATTTTACACATAGTATCAATAGTATATATACATCAAACCAAATCCCCCAGTTCCTCCCACCCTCCTTTCCTCCATTGATGTCCATATATTTGTTCTCTACGTCTCTCTATTTTTGTTTTGCAAATAAGATCATCTATACCATCTTTCTAGATGCCATATATATATATGCATTAATATAACATATATACACTTTTAAATGGTTGAAAAACAAAAGAATACTTTATAACACATGAAAGTTATATAAAATTCAGATTTCTGTGTGCATAGATTAAGTTTTCTTTGAACATAGGTAAGCTCCTTCATTTACATGTTATCTTTGGCTGCTTTCATGCTACGGTGTCTCTGTTGAATAGTTGCAACAGAGATTATATGACCTAAAAAGTCTCAGATATTTACTATTTGGTCCTTTACAGGAAAAATGGGCTGACTCCTGTATAAATCTACAAAAGTATCGCATACATATGCAAAAATACATATGCATAGGTATGTATATATAAGTGAAACATGAGCTGGGTAGTGCTTGTTATAATTCAGAGATGTAAGAGAAACTAGATATGATCTTTCAAGTATGATTATTTTAGAGATGTAGAAACAGGTACAGAGAGCTATAGTACCTTGCTGAAATGCATTATACTAGTGGCAAAACAGAAAAAAAAAAAAAACCCATGTATTTCTCAATTCAAAAAAGATTTCCTCTGTAATATAGTATACCCAGCATTTTTTCCCAATGCCATTTATAAAAATGAATTAAAATCAGATGGGTTGAAGGATGACATTGTCTCTTTTCCATTTGCTACTCAATTTATTTTCATTAATATTGTGATCTTTTTTGATTAATGTGACTAATGTTCTCACATGGCTGGGAAATGTATCAATTATGGGGTTAATTAATGTTGATGTTTAAACTCAGAATGGGATACTATTAATCGAATGCATCTATATGATGAGGGTTTAATTAATAATGTTCTGAGAACTTCTTCTGATAAATTCCATTCCATGCTAATGAACTCCATGCATCACTTTATTAAGCCCTAACTGTGGCTACCATTTCCCCCTACACTACTAATCCATGTTTAATTTGTTCACATAGTTCCCAGAGTCAATAGTAAGGCCTTTATTTTTACACCGCGTAATCAGGTTTAGGAATATCCACTTTCTCTAATTTGGTGCAGTGCCTGAATAATGCATGTCATAGAAGACGATGCTGAGCTAGAGAGTTGTTTAGCACGAAAAGGAAAAAAATCAAATTGGCATTAATGAAGTGTGGGAGTAATGTAAAGCTAAAAATGGTGTTTAAGAAAACAGTCATTAAGCCTTAAGTTTAAAAATGTTTGCTATAAAGTAATACTGTGATAGAAATTATTATAACTTTTAAACGACATTGGTTTCTTCTTCTGCATCCTTTAAAAAAGAAATATATGATTATTTATCATAACTTGATTTACATACAGTAAAATGTACAGATCTTAAGTATACAATTTGAGGAGTTTTGAAAATTAGTTTGCTCAGGTAACCATGGCTCCAATCAAGATTGAAAATATTTTCAACACTGCAGAATATTGGCTCTTGCTTCCTTCCAAGGGATCTCCCTACCCAGATGCAACCACCTGCTGATTTTTATCATCAGAGGTTAGTTTTTCCTGTTCTTGAATTTTATATAAATGGCATCTGCAGAATATACTTGATTTATTCTGACTTCAAAGATTCAATCTTACTAAAATCAATTGATTAACTATAACTCCATTTATGACTTCTACATTATGTTCCATTAATCCATTTCTATATTTTTAAAATTACTGTGTAAGTTTCAGGTATATAACATTATGGTTCAACATCTGTATGCACTGCAGAGTGATTACCACAAATCTAGTGACCATCAATCACCATACGTTTATTTATCTTGAAGTGTAGTATAATTTTGTAGATCAAAAGTTTTCCTTGAAATTGATCCTCCAACACTCTTTCAAGATTGCTTTGGATATTCTAGTTCCTTTTATATCCGTTTGAGACTGGGCTTGTAAATTTATACAAAGGCTGTTGGAATTTTTGTAAGATGTCAGTGAGTCTTCCGTAGATTTGAAGAGATTCGGAATCCTATAAATACTGAGTTTTCCAATTCATGAGTATGGTATGTTTCTCCATTAATTTGGGTCTTCTTTAATTTCTCCCAGTAGATTTTTGTGATTTTCATTATAGAGATCTTGAACATATTTTGTTAAATTTATTTTATGTGTGTCCTACTGCACGTGTCAGTTTTGGCAATATGTTTAGTCTCCAGTGTAATCGTTGGGTTACTCTAC